TAGTGTTTACTAAAAACCTGATTTAATTAAGGATTCAAATAATTATAAATACAATAGTTATTTTATGTGTGACATGATACGCACGTGGTACTTATCACTCACCACAAACATCAAAAGTCGATAATCAACAAAGAATGCTGATAATTGTTATATCGATAAAAACTAAGTTAATATTAAGTATTTCGTACTTCACGTAACATATTTCGATTCAACATAAATTGATTCAATCAAGCTAATGTAATTGATTTCGTGGCCAATCAAGAAAACAAATATTTTGGTTGGTTGACAATCTTTCACATAAAAATTGTTTTGAGATCCGTATGACAGAATTTTTGCTTTTACTTTTAATTTTATTTCTTGTAGAAGAATTTCACGAGGAAATAACGAACCCTCGTACATTTTAATGATTGATTAAACATTTTTCTTTTCTTTCCCAAATAAGGTGAAGAGGTGAGTTTTGAAAATAATTAACAATTTTACTATTATCTCTGATTAGGAAATCATTTTTTTCTGTTAAGACGTCGAAAGTACTCTTAATTAATAAAAATTACGTGACCATTTCCCGTCGTTTTCACTCTCTAAAACGAAGCAGGCCGAGTCTTTTACTTGCGTAAGAAACTCATCGTTTTCAACGTTACGCTACGACATTGATTTGAGGCCGATATCTCCCCTCCCACTTTTTTCCTAATTTTTTTTAGCAAATTGATCATTTTTTACTTCTCTTGAATCCGCTGAAAAGACGAGGAAAACTCATTACACGAGCCACCCTATATATATATATAATCTAATTTTTTGGTCGTCTCTGGGCGGGTGCTTTGTTTCTTCCATTTCAGGTGTGTTTCTTCAATTGCTTTACATATATAAAATATAAGCGCACGGCCACCATATATCATGATTTTGATACATTTCATGTCAATTCTTGATACCCAGTATTAATATGACGATTTGAAGCTTACAGTATGTTTTAATGTTTAATGGGTGGGTCAGAAAATGGATAGAAATCAAGGAAATTGCGAGGAAACGCAATCTTTCCGCGGATCATCAGAGAACCAGAGGGCGGGTTCTTCATTAAAGGGAAGGAAAGGGAAGAGATTGTGGAAGAAAGTCAAGTACCAGCTGGTGGAATACAATTCATTGCCTGCGTATTTGAAGGACAATGAGTATATTCTTGGTCATTATAGGTCTGAATGGCCGTTAAGGCAGGTTTTGCTCAGCGTTTTCACTATTCATAATGAGACTCTCAATGTTTGGACGTAAGGAATTTATCTTCTTTGCATCTTTTTCTTGCTTATTTTCTGTAAAGATTGTTGCCTTTATTAGCTTGGTGATTTTTGTCTACCAAGATTGGAACTTGGTTGCGATTCTTGAGTGTTATTGAGTTCTTTTTGCTGTTTAATGGATATTGGGTTGTTTCATACTTCCATTATATTTGATAATAGAGTTGATTATGGATTGAGGTTATACAAAAACTGCAGGAACTAGAGCTTGAGGTTTACTGAAAAACAATCATGGGATTTGATTGTCCTAGGTGATTGGAAAACTGCTGATGGTGTGAGGATTAAAGACTGGTCTAAAATTCATATTTAACTACGACAGAGCCTTGGAGGAAATTTCTGAATATAGGATTAGGGGAGGGGGATAGGCTTACATATTTGTGGTCCAACTCTATTTTCACTTCATATCGTATTTAGCTTCTCTTTTTTATTGTTAATATACGTAGTTATGTACTCTACTTCCATCCCTGGAAACCGTTTCCTGAAAATCAGACGAGACACATCATTCCTGAGACTGTAATTCCCTCGACTATATTTTCAAGGATTAGATAGACACGAACTTGGGAAAGCTGGGTAGGGTTGGCAAAATTTGGTTTAGAAGGTTGGTGGTTTTGAATCAAGTTTTTGAGAGCATTATAGATTTATAGGTAGCCAAAAAATTTCAAAAGTCATTGGAGATTACGTAAGTCTTAGGTAATCTCACTCTTCCCATTTCTTTTCTACCCTATTTACCCTTTTTTTGCATATTTTTTTTCTTCGTTGAACTCAACCCATATTATTCTTTTCAAAACTAATGTGGCTACCATGCCTTCAGCATGTCTGGTTAAGGATAGGTTTTTTTTGTTCATTATGTCGTGTGCTGGTAAGGTTTCATGCATTTTTGGAGTGTTATTTTAGTGTTCAACATGTGCCCTTATCTTTGGAGTGTGTTAATGCCCCTCTAGGTGCACTCTAGCTTGCAATAGCATTTGTTCTTCCTCGTTTTGATGGGATTTCTTTGTGTACGTTGGAATTTTTCTATGCCAGTTCACAGACTCTTCTTTGATTATTCCTAATTTTTATTTTTGGACAACAAATTGTGGATTAATCTTTCACCATTTCTTGAAATTTGTACAAGAATCAACTATACCAATGTATTTAATCGGTGATTTTGCACTTGCGCTATTTTAATGCTTTCTATATACGAGGCAATGCCTCATGAGTCCGTCATTTTCCTGCAACTTCTTCGTCTAAGAGATGGAAATTCAACTCATTCATGTACTGTCAATAAAATGAAAATATATTTTTTCGGTTGTTTTAAATCATAGTCAAAGTGCTTTTGTGTTCTTTTAAACTTCACTTTCTTTCATGGTGGTTAAGAAAAAAATTGGCACGCACTTTCAGCCTGGAGTCATTCCTGAGAGCCCTATGAACTGAAACTCTTTATCAAAAGGCATATAATATCCACGGATTGGAAAAGATTTTATAACAAATGTATAGCTTCTTATAGTTTTCATGCACTTCCTGCAATCAATTTCAACCAGGACGCAATATTAGTGAACATCTGACAGACTTGACCAAGATGCAATAATTAATGGAATTGTGTATATGGAAATGAAAAATAAAGGCTCCAGAATACGCTCCAGTAGCTGATCTTTTTTATTTCTGATCTATTGTTGCCAATTGTGATTCTGATTTATGGTTTAGACCAATCTCTACATTTTCCAGTTTGTGCAACGACTATTTCAAGAATACTATGTTATTTGACGTCACGGTTTTCTGTTTTGCTTTAGCCCTCTCTCATTTCTTCTTCTTCTTCTTCTTCTTCTTTATTTTTTGAGAAGTAATTTCATGAAAAGTTATTTTTTTGGGAGAATGTGTGGTTGAAAGTGAGTTTGAGGAAAAGTGATTTTGGAAAAAATAAAAATCAAACAAGGGCTTAATTTATTGTGTTTATCTATCAATTTACTGAAGGGGACACGACAGATCGACATCATTTCTTCCTTCTTTTGAGTTTCATTCCGTGTTGTAGAAGTCATAAGAATTATAGAACAGGGATATGTTGTTTCTTAGGACCCTAGATAAGTACAAAATGCTGTTTTTTGAATTGAAGGATATGTGGTTTTAAAATTTATTGCTTTCTACCTTGGATGTTTTGCTGCTGGTGGTGGTGGCGTGACTATTTGTTTTTCTGTCCAAGTGATTAGGCCTTCATTTGAATCCTTATGTCTTTCAATTTGCAGGCATTTGATAGGGTTCTTCCTCTTCCTCTGTCTAACTATTTACACTGCTATGAAGGTTCCACAGGTTGTGGACCTTCCAACCCTGCAACATTTCCCTGAGGTCCTGAGGAATGCCGATTTCCAAAAATTGCGTACAGAACTTATTGCGTGTCTTCCGTCCTTGCCACAGATGCCTGATTTGCACAGACTCCGAGAGGAGTTAAAGACTTTGTTGCCTTCTGTGGATTTGTCATCATTTTCTAATTGGAACATTGTGGAACTCCTCTCTAACTGTTTGCTGGAGCGTTTTCCAAGCAACCACACTGATGCTTGTGTTCTGGTACTTTTCATATTACTGCTTTCCAGTTTTCCAGTTTCATGGTCTTTCATTAGCATGTGAGACAGAGCATCTATTAATCACTATGTAGTAATGAGTACTGCATTGGCTTCACTACATGATACATGCGAGCAGTGCCTTTTCTTTTTATATTGTCAACTGTAGCTGTTCATGTCTTTTCACCCTGCATTTCGTATCTAGTTCTGCTGTTCGTTTGGTGTATTTCTGTGTCAATCTGTTGAAGGCTGCTCATGATTGTGAATGCACCGTTTCTGATATATATCTTAATTAACTTAAATTTTACCTAGCAGGCTTTTGATACGAAGTTGCCATTCCCTGGTATTCTCATCAACAAAGAGAAAAACTATTGATTTTATGAGAAATTTATTGAAGAGTGATGCACAATCAATAATATACATGCATGCTATCAAAGAGAGATGGATGTAACTCAACGTGATGAGCAAAACATCTGCATTTGTCTATTGGCTTTCAGCCCTTTTTCAGTGGAGTTTTTTCTTTTCCGTTTTAGTGTTGTTTCTTTTATTAGGCACGTTATGATCGTGACTGGTAGATGAATTGTATTTGTTCGAATATCAATTAACCTAATACAACTTAGATGGTTGTGTCGGTTGTCATGTCTTGGTATAGACTTAAAAAGAAGCTCTCATTCAAAAAAGCTGTGCAATAGAACAGATTGGAAGAGGCAGA